GAGTCACCCAATATAGACGCAAAACAACTGTAATCCTTATTGCAGGGACTCCCAGAAGGGTATCCCTAATTTTGGGAACCCCCGAAACATGCACCTTTACTTCTTTGGCTTCGGTTCCTGCCATCTTGCCGAAAATTAAATGAGCTATAAATCTAAACTCCTAGTATCCCCCTTAATAACCCCTATATTAGTCTGCTAGTAGTCTGCGGCATAATCCCCTATATCTCCCTCCTTTCAGGAGTTTGGATTATAGTTCGAATAGCACTGAAACGTATGAGAGTTTTGAACAGCTTAGCAATGTTGTGGAGATATCAGTTGGTGCACGCTTGCATTGATTCCCGTGCAGCCCGCATCAGTCCATTTGTGCGTAGCTGCAACTGCTGCAAGGACGTGACTGCTGTTGCAGCAATTTTGCACTGGGATTAGCGTGATGGTGCTTTTCGTGGTTGTGCGTTTTGATACTTGCCCTGTGCCTGCGGCTGTAATTGTGGCAGCTATGATGATGCACTAATGAGACAAGGCAAGTTCATGTGCACGCAACGCAGTTGTAGCTGTCAGCGTCCTGGAAGTCTGGAACCTGAGCACCCCCGCTCAGTCAGACACCTTGTTCATCCGGGATGGAACTCGACAGCCCCGCTCGAGCAAGACTCAGGCGCGTCTTGAGAGATGTGATAGTGCGGCATTAAAATAGTGTCTGGGTACCGTCGCTGTTTTGTGGCTGCGCAGTCTCAAGCTTGTTCCGTGACTGCCCCGTACATGCACCAGGCTGCGTGCAACACGCCAGTCGTGGGGGTGCCGATTACAACAGATGCCAACCCCATCACCCTAGATGCATCAAGCGCTAAGTCACTGAGGTCAGATTATGTTGATAGAAATTCGGGCAAAAATTCCTGGTCGTTGAGTTTTGATCTCGCAGCTCCACACCACCTGCACTGCCATGCTAGAAGCAAATAATCAGTGGCACGTACACAGTACCTCGTACTGAGCTGCTCTCATGATGCCCTGCGCCAGTTCAATCTCGGCATCACCTTCATGCAGCTGCAGGTGCCGAAGCGTGTTGCAGCAGACCTGAAACAACTCCGTGCAACGGTGTATCAGATCCCCTGACTTTGGCCCACACACCTTAATTGCGCAGCTGGGTGCGATGCAAGGAACGCTGTGACCTAAGGGCCAACCTTTAACGCTCCGAGGCCTAAGGAGTTGCCCCTTGTATTCAATATCAGTGTTACATAGCTTTTTTGTGCTGCGGGTAGATGATGGGGGACATGTCAGTATTTGCCAGGAATGGGATGCAGCGGTCACGGCCCTGGTACGCTGTGCCTGGGCGGATCCGCTGAGCTCACTGTAGGGGCCTTGGACGGCTTCAAGTTTGACCTTATAGCCAGAGTGACTGGCTACTGGTGCTTGCAGGCGAGTGGTGGAATAGTCAAAGTACTTTTTACATGACCCTATGAAATACTCGATAGCCCCCATATTCCCTGCGCATGCCCCTTCAGCACCAACAAGCGGAAGGTTGTGCGATGAGTCACATGTATAGGCGGCGATGAACGTCTGCCTCTCCACAGCATCGTAGCTGCTCCATGTTTTTGCTCTGGCAGTAGCAGATGCCGCCTCCACTGAAGTAGAGGGTTTCGTTAGCAATGGTGAGTACACTCAGCATCCAGCACGCAATGCTGGTTGACTCGAGTGAGGATGGACTGGCATCCTTTTTAATTTGGAGAAGGGTCCACAAACACTTATTCTTGTGACTAGAGTCGCTAGAGTCTCCCGACCGCAGAGTCACAATCCCACAAGCTCGCTAAATCTGGATTCCAATGCGGACAAAAGCATGTACCGGGAATCGCGTCCTCCGCGTATCCACCAGAGCAAGCAACGCAATGATTTTTCTGTCGCGTTGCCTTGAGGTTCTCTCCATTGATTTTTAACATCATCATATCCAAGATAAACGGGTTTCCTACCGTGACATTGTAATGCCTTCCAGTATGTTCAAGTGTGTACTGAAGGGATGTGACATACAGTTATGAGCTCTCAGACCATTACCACACGGTTGCTGCTGTTTGTCCCAAGAGTCCTGCATGACCCGAAGTGTCCGAACTACCCGAAACCTTTGGGATTGTGGCAGTATGGTATACCCAAAGTCGTGCAGGATCTTGTCCATCAACAGTATTGTTGTAATAAAAATCATAAGGATAATTTGAGTAATCGTATTCATAGTAGAAACAGTGATAACAATACAGCAGCAGCAGTAGTCGTAATAATAATAATGGTAGTAGTCATAGCAATAGTAA